AAGTTTCCAGATGCTAAAAGGAATCAGCCTACTTTGCTTCCTTTTTTGATCTTCTTTCTCCTTCTCATCTTTGATATCTTCATCCCTAAAACTAGGCCACTATAACAAAACACCATGGACTAGGTGGCTTGTAAACAACAGGAACTTATTTCTCACAGGTCTGGTGGCAGGTAGTCCAAGATCAAGGCTCCAACAGCTTTGCTGTCTGGTGAGGGTACATTTCCTCAAGGGTAGACTGTGTCTTCTCAATGTAACCTTACATCATGGAGACAAGGGGGTCTTTCTGGGGCCTCTATTACAAGAACACTAATCTCATTCATAAGGGCTCCCCCTCATGACCTAATCACCTCTCAAAAGCCCTACCATGCTCAGGGGTTAGGATCTCAACATATGAATATGGGGTGAGGGTGTGAGGATGTAATGTTCAGTGCATGCATTGGGTCTTTCTGACTCCTTGTGACTTGCTTTTGATGCCCTCTAGTCATAGTGTGATGCTGTCCTCTCCTGCCTGGTAGTCCAGATATGCTCGACGTGGCAAAATGCTCTACTCTCTACCCTTCCATCTGTGGCCCACTTGGGCAGGGACTATGCTCTCCAGGTTCCAGTAGTTCAGCTCATACCTGTTACTAAGCCTCTAACACCTCATGGAGCCCATGAAAACAAACCTAGTTCCCTGCCCAGGCAGGGAAGACCCTGGTTCCAGCATGTCCTCCTCCTGCTCTCCTTTTTGCCTTACTCATGGAACACTTCCTTTTGCCAGTAAACTTGCTTGTTGTCACCCAAGGATGCTCTTCCATCTGCTGAATCCTGGCTCTTGAGAGTCTCCCCCTATGGGCTACCTTCCTTTTTTCTCTCTGCTGACTTCACCTCCTTTGATGCCCTGCTCAAAATTCATCTCTTTCAGAAAGATGGGAGATAAAAGAGGAGCAGGACGATGGAAGGGCTCCTGATCAAAGCTGCATTTATCTAAAACAGGGTGAGGATGATGTACATGGGCTCGTCAGCAATTCCTGGAACGTTTTTAGGCAGTGAGGGCTTCTTGATACTTCAAAGAAAGTTTTTGAGAGACATGCAGCAAAACTATGAAATTCTCAATTGCCTAAAGACTGGGGGCTCTATGGCATAGGGCCAAGGAAAGAGTCAGTATGGAAAGACATATGAAACTACACCTTGAAAAAGAATTATTACATAAATGCATCATATGACATGATTTCTTTCCATTCTTAAATACCAATAGTAGTAAAAAAAAAAATACAGTTAATTTATAGGTGAAATATTTAAGGTGATCTTTTATTGTACTGTTTTCCCCAATAAACAGTAAAATGATTTATGAAACTCATTTTTCTATTTAGATTGAAATACAGATATTTGTAGCTATACTGCCCCCATAACACAATCTCCTAAAAGCCTCATCTCTGAACACATGAGACCCTCTAGACCTAAACCCTAACAGATGGATAATTATTGGAGGTTCTAAGAATAAAAGAAGCATCTTAGAGCTTCGATTTCAACAGAATCAATTGTGGTATAGTGGTGTAATTTTATGGGCAGTCAGAGTTCTGAGGACAATGTTTTCTATTAAGATATTGAGGTCACACTGTGGAAAGGCTGGGACAGGGATAATATAGCACAGACTCTGGGATTTGATAACAGCTATGCTACAAATGACAATGGCTGTCCATCTAGCTTCTGAGGAGGAGAGAAGTTACACTAGAATTCTGAAAAATGATACTGACACTTAAATGATAATGTTTAAGAAGAGCAAAGATTGGAGGTGAGGGTGGGTTCCAAGGGGAGTGGGAAACCCTTCTGTGAGCTGGGCCCCCACTTTGGTGCCAGGAAGGAAGGACACCCAGTGGTCAAGGGCACCATCTTCCCTTCCTCTCACTTGGATATCTAGCCTCAACAATCTATATGAAAGTAGTTGTGGAAGTGAAAGATGAGGACACTGTTGTAGGTTGAATCATCTCCCTCAAAACACCTATGTTAAAGTCCTAACTCCCTCTACTTCCCAATATGATATTATTTGGAATGATGGTCTTTTATCCAGTTAAAATGCGGATATAACTCAAGTTAAGTGGGGACCTAATCCAATATGACTGGTCTTCCTATCTGAAGCGGGATTTTGAACACAGACACACACAGGGAAAACATTTTATGGAGCTAAAGTAGTGCTGCCACCAGCCAACAAACTCCCAGAAGCCAGGAGAGAGGCCTGGAACAGAGCCCTCCGCAGCAACTTTTAGAGGGAGCTGGGCTTGCTCACACTTTGACTTAGGACTTCCAGCCTCCAGAACTGAGAGACAATACATTTCTGGTGCGTAAGTCCCAACAGTAGTGGTGGTTTGCTATGGCGGCATGTTGGTAATAATACAAGTACTAAAGTGAGGCCAATAGGCAACTTATCACTGGAAAAGAGTAAGCCACTACCTTATCTTTCCTCATAGATGTACATGAAGAGGAAATTATGGGATAGAAGGAGACCTGGAGGTGGGATATTGCAATAGAATTGCTTCTGACACTTCTAGGCTCGGAAATGGTAGCCAACAGACTGGCTTTGTTGATGATATGAAATAAACAACATGTGATTTTTGAAGAAAGTCTCTGAGATGCTTTCTATCTGGATCATTTGGACCTCTCATGGAAAACGGAATGAGCACAACGGATGCCTGCAAACATTTGCTTGTAGCATCATAAAACTGAAGGCAGGGCTTGTGTGATCATACAGATGTAACTGGCTTTTATCTTGCTTTTCAGCTTTTACAAGAAGCAGGCTCAAAGCAGCAAGGATGTGGAAAGTATATCCAATAGTAAGAGACAGAAAAGTATTCGTGCCTCTTTGAATAAAAAAAATAATTAAGCCCAAGTGGCAGCCACAGATCCATATGGGGGATAAATGCCGCTCTGTTCCCTTTGGCCTGCATGTCCAGACAGCAGAATGCACAGAGAGGAAACAAGCTGGAACCAGGTAGTTGGCAAATTACTCCCATCCAGATCTAGTTGAACGAAGGCCCAACACACACAACAAACAGGATGTATATTTAGAACAGAGAACACTTTATAATTAGAAACTAATTGTTACTTTCTTGGCATTCTTTTAAATATGATTCTATTGAAACCCTTTGCTATTATGAGACTTGTCAGAAGCACGGCTGGGAGGCACTGTTATAATAAGATAACATGAAATATTAATGCAAGCTAGCCATTTCCACAGCCAGCACTAGACCTCCCCAGAACACGATGTCCACTGGCAAGAAGTCCTGGTTTCTCTGCCATTCTTGTTAGCCATAAACCTGCTATTGTGAACTCAGGCCCATTTTCGTGAAGCTTTCACTTGTTTTTGTGATCTGCCCCTCACCGAGCTCTGCTGTCAAGCCCTTTGGGAAATGGAGGCGTAGACATATGTGACCACCCTGCAGGCATCAGCAGGGTACAAAAGCCCCAGCTAGGTCCACTGTGCCATCCTAGCTCAGCAGCTGGATTGAGCATTTGCTCTCTGGATAGTCCTCTCAACACCGTGCACTTGGGAAGACTACTGGGAGAACCAACACAGAGTGGATGTGTTGAAAATTGTTGAAAATTGCTGAGGAGTGAGGCAGGCAGGATTTGGGCTGAGGGGAGACAGACCTGGGACATCACAACTTCAGTGTAGGAAAGCCCGCTCCCTGCTCACCCTGTTATTTGACTGTGCAAGAAAAACAGCTTTGTCTCAGAACAGAAAGGACGGCTGGACAGATGACTGCACAGCCACACCAAGGCCATCCTTAACAGCCCTGGCTGCAGGTGCCCCTTCCGTCTCTGAGCCTCCAAATGTATGTAAACAAGCGAAATCATATGACCATAAACAACATGGGTGCTTTGAAAAACATCTAGGCATCTGTGAGAGAGGCAGGGATAGGTCTGTCCAAGACAGGCACAATACGGACTGACCACAAAGCACAAAATACTTTTCCTGCAACTGTCCCTCCAGGGCAAGATTCAAAGCTAGCTAGGGGGAAAGAGGGTTCCAGGACGACTTTGACTTTTCATCTTATACCTTTCTGTACTTTTTAACATTTGTGCTGATATTATTTTTATAAGTACAAATTATTACCAAAGAAAGTACTCCTGTTCTTGTTTTACCCACATTGACATACAGATAGGTGATTGATAGATGAAGAGAGATAGACAGTGAGATAGACAGATAGATATAGACAGATGTTAGATGATAGATGGTACAAATAGGTGGATGATAGGTAGGTAGGTAGGTAGATGATAGGTAGACAGAAGATAGACAATAGACTCAATCAGACTGTACCCTGTGCCTTTTCGCTGTTGTGGAACTTTCCAGAATTCCACTGATAAATACATATGTAGGATCTCTATGGACAAAGCAAGCTACCAGCTGCATTTTAAGGAAAAGAGTAATAATCCACAAGGCAGGGAATCACTTGAGAGGACAGCCTGGAAATGGCAAGTTTTCTGAAAAAGATGATATGTGACTGACAAGCATTTCCTCCTTCAAATTCCTTTTCAAAGCAAAAATCCCATCTAAGTTCCTTCTTTTAAGAAATCAAAACCCCATGCTTGAGGAGAACAGTATTTTAAAGCTGAAGAAGCCAAGAGTCTCCTGGTGAAGGTCATCTGTTCCCTCTGAGAGGGGCTGCACACACATCCTCCTCCATCGTTTTTGCTTTTTCCAGAATTTTCTACAGGGATCTATAGGAAGGGGCTTGGAATGTGAAGAGACTCATGTGGAGCAGAAGAGTCCAGGATCCCTGTGAACTGGGCACCCCACCTCTGGTGTAACCCACTGAAAGTCAGCCCTGGGTTAAGGGAGACCATGTTTAGGGAGCAAAGCAGAAAGTAATGGAGCCCACCTTATAAGGATGGAGGAAAACATAGATATAAATATTTCGTGCTCCAGTAAACCTGTTAGGAAATTACTAAATCCTGGGGGGAATATGACATGGTGCAAATTCCAAAGAACTGTCATCTGTGATGAGATATACATCTTACACTTTTTGTTTAACTATGAATTTAATGAAACAGAAAATTATAAGTGACTGTGTGAACAATGGTAGAAAGTGGCCTCACACTTCAGAAGCTTCTTCAAGCAACAGGGGTGTACTCAACACTTGTGCAGATCTTGACGTTGGTGATTTGTGTTCACATCAAAGCTGGGTAGGTCTAGGACCGTGAGCTGAGGAGTGAGGCAGGCAGGATTTGGCCTGTGGACAGGCCCTGCTCAGCACCAAGGCCTTGACAACAAAACTATGTGCAAATACATAAACAGACACAAGACGTGAGGTTGGTAGAAATGCTGTGTACACAAAAGAGGGGACTGTATTTGACACTGACATCTGATGCAGTGTCTCCACAGTCTGGTCACCAATCCCATGCCGAGATCATTTCCTTAGCTAGCAGGTGACGAGGGTAGAAGCATCTTGGGGCTCCGGCGGCAGGGAGTAGGAATTGCCACACACTCCTGCAGGCTTGTGCTACCTCCTTCTGTGTGTCTTCAGAGTTTCACTCACAGCCTGTGTTCTGCTAGCTGGAAGTCGCTAGTTTCTGAGGGACACTAGATTTCTTTTCTGCTGGGGCCCCAGGCTCTGGCTTCTTCACTGTTAGAGAGTTTGTCTGAACTTTGCTTTTCCCAATGCTTGGCTTCTTCGGTTTCTGGTTGTTGCTTTGAAGGGATTTCAGCCCTAGCATTTTACAGTACTTGTTACACTGGTGTAGTGCTTTAAACTGATCGATGAACGTCATGGAACAGTTGCCCTTGAATCCTTTGTACCTGTAAGTGTGGGAGAAAGAAAAACATGTTTTAAATTAGGATACTTCACTAGTTTCAAAAGAAACTGCACAAAAATATATTTGTTCTAATTTGGGGTAAGAATAGCCAAGTGGTTTATCACAACTGTCAGGGAAAGATAGAAAACAAAGATTGTGGATCCAATGGAGACGCAGACCCACTGGCATGTACCATAGAGACCTTTGATTACAGCAGGTGCCATGGTCACAATATACCAGTCTATTATTGCCCTACTTCTCTTAGTCATTTTGCCCTATTTCTCTTAGTCATCTGCATCATTTTGACAAAAATTGGATTTCTTAGTGACCTGAAAGTCGCTCAGTCTACCCAAAGGTTCTGAATAAAAAATTCTAGGACTTTAGAAACAGAAGAAGTTATTCAGTGTAGACCCTTCAATTCATAAGTGAAGGAGTTTAGGCTGAGAGGTCATGGAACCAGCCCAAGAAAACAAAGCAGGTGATACAAGGTGAGAAGGAAGCCCTGCGTGGCTTCTTCCTGCGCCTCTTTCCTGTAACATCCCTCGTTGTCCTGAGGAAGAGAAGAATCCAGGCCTTTGTCTCCGGCCAGCTGTAGGAGGGACCATGCTGACCCTTGCCCGGGCGTAGTCTCAGGGACTGTTACTTTGAGTTGGCACATTTGATGCTCAGACTGTAAGTGACTGTGCTTTCTCATCCCAACCATGGCAAGTCAGTTTGCTCCTTCAATGGACAAGTACCAAGGTCCCCCACACCCCCTTCTTCACCTGCAGGCGAGCAAGATCCACCAAGCCAGCTGAGAAGTGGCAATAGGTACCAGGCTATTGCCACTTGTTTTGTGGCTAGAAAAGTCCCCTGCAGGTCTTTCTGCCAGCAGTCGGAAAATCCCCAAATTCTATATGTGCTGGGCCCCCTCCAGCACTTGGCTGGGCCAGGGTGAATGGATGTGCAACCTTGTCCTTCCTCATGGGTGACATCATTTTGAGATGCCCCAATGGTCCTCCCCACTGAAGATGAGCTCCTTTGATTGCTGAAGGAATTTGCCCTCAACATGGCTGGTGCCTAACAAATAAGCACTGGGAAGCAGGACATTCATACACCTACACAGCCCTGCGGCACCTGCTCCATCCCTCCTCATTGACGCATTCTGCCACCAGAGGGACCTCTACAAAACGTAAGTCATGCACCCCTGCTTAAAATTTTATTGCTATGAAGAGAACGATAGAGTTGGGGTGCGGCTCAGCTATAGAGCACTTGCCTAGCACACATAAGGCCTTGGGTTTGCGTCCAGACATTGAAAAAAAAAAAAAGATGAGACAAAATGTCTTATCCTCCTTGCAATCTTGCCAGCTTGCCACATCTCTCAACCCCGACCTCCCCTCAGCCCTCAAAAGAGGTCGTGCTCACCCCTTTTCAGAGTCTGTGCCCAGAGTGTTCCCTGCACGTGGGATCCCTGCCTCCCTCTGTCCTTAAGTCCCATTGGTCCTCAGTCCTTGTGGAAGCCTTTCCTGGCCTCCTCAACGAAGTCACAACCCAAAGGGTAGGTGTGTCCTCTTCTCCACAGCCCACTCACACTTGCAGGCTGACGCTGTGAGCTCAGGAGCTGGGGGCACCTGTACCTCTGGTGCTGCAGAGGCCCACACTCTGGCCTCATCCTCATGCCCCAGACAGCTAACCCAGTGAAGCCCAACACACAGAGGAGGCTCTAAAACAACTCTGAGGTGTTTTCTGTGTTTGTTGTTGTTCAAAGTGTTCTTTCAATGTTGTCTTCTTGGGTTGGCCCGTGTCAGTGTTGCCTTTGGAAATTTAGACACACAGGAGTACCTAGCCAAGCACTCCTTACAGACTACCTAGACAACCACTGTGAGCCACAGGTACAGAAGAGCACAAATAGGACATTGACCCCTTGCCCTTGCTGTCTAGGGAAGAAGACAGATTTCAGATCATTACAGCGACCCGCGATGCAGGTAAAGCGCTACAGCGGGCTTAGTGAGCCTGGATAATAAGCCTATCTAAGCTGCTGTTGGTTTTCTCTCCTCCCAAATGGGAAGGATGCTAATACCTGCCCCAAGGTGTTTGTGAGAGGATAAAATGAGAAAATATGCATGAACTGCCTGGCTTAGTACATGACACATAGTAAAGATTCAATTGCTATTGGCCATGTTATTATTATCATTACCAGCTTATAATGGTGCAGCTGATGGGTTCTCCCTGTGGAAGGGACGTTGAAGCTGAGACCGGAGGATGAGGGATTTTCTGAGTAATGGAGAGGGAGGAGTGTGCCTGGCACATAGGGCTACAGACAATTTGCAGGGCTCAATAAAAAAGAAGATGAACTCCTCGTTCAAAAATTATTAAGAATTTCAAGACAAAACAGCAGAGCATTAAACCAAACACAAGATCCCTCCAAACGGGGAGCCCCATGCCAGTGCATGGACCACATACCCTGAGACTAGCCCTACTGAGTGCGAGAGAGTTCAGGCTGCTTCTACTAATAGGAACAGCATGAATTGGCAAAAGGAAGTCTGCAATATTGGCATGAGGCAGATGCTACCTAAGGTAATTCAAGAAATCAGGACTCCTTCATTTGCTGGTGGAAACCAAATGTGTAAGTATGGCTGGAATGAGTGGGGCATGGGACTGTGGTCTTTTCCTATGCAACCCATACTGGGTATTGAACTCTTAAGGGCATGAAAGCTTTCTGTCCTCTCTGAAGCTACAGCATAAGCCTGCAATTCCACGCTTGCTGCAAAGCCAGGCTGCCCTCTTCTCCACCCAGTGAGGGAGCTGCTCTGCCCCTGGGATCACACAGTCAATTTCCTTGTGAAAAGTGACCTGCATTATAAAAGCCAAACTCATTTGTTAAAGAAAAAGGCAACCAAAGAAAGGAGTTAAATCTAGCAAGCTAGGGAAAATTCCTCTGCTAAGTGTGTCATTTTTACATCTCTATCTTCCTCTGCAGGAGACCTCAGAAAAGATCAAAATGCCGGTCTGTCTGTGTTTCCTTCACGTCTGAGCATTCTGTGAGGGGACACAAAGCCAGCTGCCCCTGCATTTGTCAGACATAGTGGAAAGCCTTGTCCCTACTGCTCGGGGAAGGCCTCCCTTACCTCACACCAATTCCTGAGCATCTCACATAAACTGGAAATATCATGGACAGAGGTAGCATCCCAGTTTAACCATATGGGAAACAACTCTTGGTCATCTATGTCAAGACTATTGTGAAGGTTTTCAAACTTTCAGACAACATATCATCTCTGCAGAGAAAAATAACTCACACTGTGATCTCCTAGAAAAGCTGCTGCTGTGCCCTTAAGCACTGCCTTGCAGCTAAGTGTTAATGCTGCATAACAAGCACATCCTTATCTAATGGTTCCACCTCTGGAATGGAAAAGAAAGGTTTGCTTATAGGATCATGACTTCTAGGTAGCCCCTGGGAACCCAGAATTCTTCTAGGAATCTGACAACTTGCTTTCCCTCACTTAACCTTTTGCTTAGATCCTTTCAGAAAAGCCAGTGATAGGCAGCAGGAACATGGGCTGGGTTGACTTAGATGTCTGAGCATGGGCATGGTGAGGCCCTAGAGCAAAAGCAGCTTTTCACAATCAGGGAGGCCCTTTCTCACCCCAAGCCCTTGCAAGCCTCACCTGGAATACACTCTCAGAATCCTGCAGGGCCGCTCTGCAGCGCGAGAGGAAATCTCTCCAACCTTTTGCTTGCATCTCCCCGAGGACTAGAGCCACTTCTTGGAACTAGGGGCATATGTACACTTCTTCTCTCCACAGGCTGTGATCTGTCCCAGGACACTCTTATGTGCCAGGAGAGGCTTTTCCTCAAGCAACAAAAGAGTAGATATGAGCCCCTTCCACAGAGTAACTTTTCTGGGTCCAGAGAATTTGCATTTCTAAACTTCACATTTCTAAACTTCCCTCCTCTCTATTCACCCAAAATATCTGAGGCTGGATACTTCACAAAGAAGGTCCAAACACCATGGCATCAGCATCCTGGTAGGTCCCCTGGCTGCACACAACACAGTAAAGAAGTGGAGAAGGAAATACCTTGGTGCAGAAGGGACCATGCAAGTGGGTTGATCTCTTTGTAACAATGTGCTCTCATGAGAACTCACTCATGCCAGGAGAACAGCATCAATCCATCCATAGGGCCAAACCTTCTGACCTACTTACCTCCCACTACACCCCACCCCTAAAAGGCTCCATGACCCCTAAACATCACAGTGGGGACCAAGCACATAGCTCTTGAACCTCTGGGACACAACCAAACCATATCCAAATGAGAGCATTCCCTATCAAATGCTGGACCTTTGGTTTGGCCTTTCAGGCAATATTGAACTTCCCTCCCCCTGCTTTCTGAAATGCACTTTTTCCTTTTTGCTACCCAGAATCTACAGAATTAAGTCTTTCTCCTTTCTTAGTTTGGTCTCTGTCTCAGCCGAGATGTTGAGTTTCCACTTTGACCTATTGTTCTCTCAAACTGGCAGTCACTGTTATGGCCTTTGGCTTTGCCTGGGAAGAAAAATAGAACAATATCCTTATGTTTCTAGAACAATTAACCTTAGATTCACTCAAAGGATGTAAGTCCAGTTTCACCAAACTTTTATCTATGCATGCAATGGGAAAAACAATCCTCCTGCTGTGACCCACTTTGCCTGCAACACATGCTATCTGCTGACCTCAGGACTGGAGGTGACCACAAAACTGGATTCCCGACATCTCTGCTACATGATCACCAACACAGAAACTCACCTCTGCTTTCTTGTTGGATAGATGTAGAGTTGAGTACATCCCCTCAAAAGGCATATCCTTCTCAGAAGCTCAGAGTGTGCTTTTATTTAGAAATAATGCCACTGCCGATATAGTTACTTAGGATGAGCTCATATTGGAGTGGGGTGGCCCCTTAGCCCGATATTACTGGTGTTTGTATAAGAAGAGCAAAGACACAGACACAAGGAAAATATCATGTGATGTCTGAGGTGAAGATTGAAATGAC